CTCTCTCTCTCTCTCTCTCTCTCTCTCTCTCTCTCTCTCTCTCTCTCCATATGCATCTTCAAGTGGCTGATTTGATTGACACTATAATCCACCTCGCGTATTGTCCGAGTTTGAGCAGCTACACCTGACTTATATCCTTGGGGTAGCTTCCAAGAACTCTAAGGAATGTCGCAAACTCCTGCAAAGAAATAGTGCTCTTAAGAAAGTTGAATAAGTGAATGGTATAACCAATTTTCATACTAGTAAAAGGGAATATGGCCTATAGGAACTACTTACCCTGAGATGCCTTAGCGCATTTTGTGCCCTCTCGTCAGCCATTGAAGCATCAAAATCGACATAAAAGAGGTAATCAAAGTACCTGAATAAAAATCCCACACAATAGACATGAAATCACTAATTTGGTTTCCTGCAAAACTCAACACTGGGTCATAACCTGACGAGTTATATTCATCATCAGGTTATGGTTTCAGACAGATCACTTAAGAACCTCATTAAGGATAAATGTTGATGTTGTATAGAAGTAATAGTTCAATCTTGAAAATAGAGGAGTCAGAAAATCACTTTGGAGATCCATTACTGCATTCTTCAGGAATGGGAATGTGCAGTGAGTGTTTTCTTCGCGGTCGGCTTTCAATCTGGAAAGATACACTGGATGTCAAAAGGAGGCTACACCATACACAATTTTTAAAAATGGATAATGGATTCAATGCTTGTATGAATATTCTATTGTGTTCGTTTGATCTGATCCGTCCATCCAACATACTGTTGAACTCAATCTGCCTATGGTGTCTCTCTACAGTGAGAGCAATAATCATCTAAAAGAAATGGACAGAAAAGGTAAATCAACATAATACCTTTGTAAGGTTAATCTGCCTCATAGCAAAGACGGCGAGTGCCTTGAAAAGTACCCCGGATCCTTCCTCCAGGGAAAAAACTATGCTCGTCTGATAATTTTGAGATGAAACATTATCCGCCAACAGTCTCGGATCATGCTTATGAGTAGACTATATGGAATAAAATACAACATGAAGGCAAAAAATGCCTATATCATTATGTCTTTACCTTGAATGGCCTGTCCACACCTGGTATTATAGGTTCTCTTGCAAGCATCAGGAATCGAGTGACATTGTCAGAGTCATCCTGTTTTTGAAGATAAAATTCATGTAAAATGTGTTTGAGGGTGTCATTCAAGACTAGTTACTCAAAAATCTCATTTTTGATGGTCACTACCCATATATTAGTGGTAACAAGAATCATAGAAAAGTGACCTGGATGTCTTGTGCAAGAATGTCCAACCCATAAATTTCTGCAGCTCGAGCACTAGCAACAGCACCGGCATCTTGGAGTTCATGGGTGGCAACTAACTATAAAGATCAACATAGTTTTAACAATGATATTCACAAAGATAAACAAACACCCAGATTAATAAGCCGCGAGAACGTCAGTGGAATCCAAAGTAGTAACTGTGTAAATTCAACCTTGCCCAGGTGCAATTACATATCTAATCCAAATCTCAGTGCAGGCAATGATGATGAATACTAATGAAAACTGAAAAGATAAAAATACTCTACATGATGATGAATAGTAATAATAATAACCATAAAAATACTCTACATGACATGGTTTTGATTGATGATTCTAGAGATGGTGTAAACAGTGTTAGAATTTTGGAGGAATGCTTAGAATCTGAACGTTTTAAAATCAGCTGGACTAAAACAGAATATATGGAATGCAATCTTAGCAATGATAGGAACATAAATGAGGAATTAGTAAGATTGATGACCAAGAAATAGCTAAAAAATATTATTTTTGATATCTTGGGTTGATAATCTATAAGAAAAGAGATAGAGGAAGATGTTGCTTATAAAATTAGAGTTGGGTGGAGGACGTGAAGATGTGCTCTAGAGTCTTATGTGATATAAAGCTCGAATGATGATGAATTAGTCAGCTTAATAAATGGTGTCACAACTTTGCAGTTTTACTCATTAAATCTTCATTTGTTTGGTGAATATACAGATCTGCTTTTATAAGTATTTATTGCTAGTGAGTGTTACTCAGCTAGACCAGCAAAGCAAAGGGTAGATCACAATGTAAAAGCCCATCATAAACTCACATGTGCAGCACCTGCAGTGTCATCTACAGCTTCCCTCACAACTCCCAACTTCGTTAGCTTATTCTCACACTGTGAAAGAGCCTGAAATGTAGTTGAAAACTTTCAAAAATCCATCCAATATAAAGCATAATAAAATTCTACAATCTTAAAAAGAAAAGAAGTGCAAAGCTCACTTGAGGATGGCTAAGAACTCTTTTAAGATTCTCAATTTTTACACCTGGGACAGCCAGTAAGCAGTGTCGAACTGCAAATTGTACTTCCCCAACAATGTGCAGTCTATGGCGAAGCAAAAGGTCATAATTGCGGTGAATGCTGCCTCCTAGCGAGTTCTCAATTGGTAAAACTGCTCTGTCAACAAGCCATCGTTCAACAGCCTGGTGAAGGATGACAAGAAGAAGCATAGATACAATATTAGGAAGCTCATGTATCTCTTTTACAGAAACAATATGAATTGAGTATTTTCTGGAACCACAGTTCTGTGTCTGTTGTGCACAAAAAATTTTATCTAAGCCAAACAGTTAATAAACATATATAGATACACGAATAACATTTTAAAAAACTCAAAAGGGCCATGTTGTTCCTCATTGAAATGAGAACTCGGAGGATAAACAATCTCTTGCATGCTCAGAAACAAGTCAAACAATTGAGTTTTTTTATTGGGAGATAAGCTGGAATTGAATCCACAACATGTAATGTTTTTTATTTGTAAGAAATGGTACTTTACACTGTAAATCTTGTGCTTTTTGGAGTACGAAAGTTATGATTGGCTTCAAAAAGGAGCACAACCTGGCCAAGTGGTAGATAGAGATTAAACCAAAGACTCCCAAGTATAGTGTCTTTCTGCTAGAACCTACTAATGTTTGATCAGTTCTCTTAACACAGTGAACTGCATAAATGACTCTGGCCTCAAATTATTCAGGACATTTATTCCATATTAATATAATTTAAGGAAGACAACCTATGATGCATGGATACTTCTAAATGCATGCCGTATCCACAAGTACTTCAAAAACTGTGTAAAATCTTAAGAAACTGATCTATAGTTATGCCCATTGCTGTATCTATGCGTTATAGAATACCACCAGAAAAAGAAGGCAGAGTGATTCTGGAATTAGTGTTCATGGGCATAAAAGTACCTGATCATTACCACAAGGATTTTAACAACATGCCTTTACATCTCTGAAATAAAGAAAGCAATAAAACAGCCAACTTCTTTGAACTGTTCCATCTAAGAGGAAACTAGGACAAATGATTTTAAAAAGCATGTTCCTCGTGGTTTCACTAAAAGATCATAACAACTAAGAGGCCAAAAGATGAATATACCCTCCAAAGATTCAAAACACAAATGATAATCAAAAGACATCATTGCTGAATGAATGTTGATATGGAAAGACCTGGACATCCAAACATTCAAGCTGGACATATTATAAAGCATACAATAGAAGAGAAGGTTTAAAAATTGGGATTGTATACAATGAGACCATTTAGCTTTGATACAAGGTGGTCACAATTACTTACAACCATCCCATGTGAAATTGATAGCTTGGATGTGTCACAAAGTTCAAGAAAATTTCTTTTAAAGTTTGAGCTATGTCAATGGAATAATTGCAGCCACCCAATTTCACATCCAATGGTCTATGCTAATGTGACCATATTGTACCAAAGGTAAATGGTCTCATTCTATACTTTTCCTTAAAAATTTCAATGATGGAAAGACAACAGGCCATCTTCATTCTGAAAGCAAAATCGAAAACAGTAGCATTAAAATACAGAAATAAAGACTATTGGATATCGTTGAAAAAATAGAAGATGGAACCATGAGTAGTATTGAGCTAGTGCCAGGATGCCCCAGCCCAGGCCCGATGTGCCCAATGAATCAGGCCTAGGCCAATTAATGCCATGCCGGAACCCAGAGCAACTGGTAGGGGTTGGCCCAATTGGCCATGCCGGAACCCAGGGCAACTGGTAGGGGTCGGCCCTGGCCTGGCCCAGCCCTGCCCCATCCAAATTGCTTAATCGGGCCAGGCTTGCCCAGCCCAAGCCCTGCTCAGTTTGCTTTTCTCTTTTCCCTTCATCAAGAGCCAGCGTGACTAAGCCCAAACCTGAGTAACATGTTTACTTTTAGTTTGTTCTTTTACCTGTCCCCTATATTAGTAGAGAGAATGTTAAAGAGAGAACAAAGAGATCAGAGAGAGAAAGTAAGAAGGAACCTTATAATTGTAGAGAGAGAAAGAAGGGGTCCTATTTATCTAAGCTCTAAGTCTAGAGAAGGAGAGGGAGAGAGAGGGAAGGATTTTTACCTGAGCTTTTGAGAGTTCTTGAGCAAGAGAAGGTAAATTTCAAATGGATAACCTAGTAAGTGATAAATTGATGTTTGTAAGGTCAGTATTGATTCCATATAGCTTAGTTGTCACTAATCACCACATATTTCTCTCCTTCTATGTTCTCTACTAGATTTTCCTTCCATCACAATCTCTCTCTCAATCTCTCACACACATTTTGAGAACATATCAAACACATCAATCAATACCAAAAAAAAGGCGTAAGAGAACAAGTACTAGCATAACATCCAAAATCCTCTTACAATCGATGAAACAAGCATGTGTCACTAGCTTTAGCATGATGCATCCTCCTGACAAAAAAGTAGCACAAGTAAAGCTATTAAAACAACCATAATCCAAAACTAATAGAGTTCATATGGAATTTTTGCAACAAGAATTCATACAAACAACTTGAACTGTTTTGTTCAGTCACAAAGAAAACCATTCAAACTCATTTGTTGCTTATTCAGTCACAAAGGGGGAATTCGTGCGTCTGTTGATGGAGGCACAGTAGTAGAACATCGAGAGAAACAGCATCCTAGAACCTAGAGAAGATGACTACACGAAACCCATCAGGTCGCAGGGTCCTATCACGCGTCCTCATGGATTTCTTCTGGAGTGAAGGGGAACTTGAGATTATCCTCTTCAGTTTGGTAAAGAGAAAGAAAGAAAAGGTGGGACCCTCGACTGGGCCAAAAATAACTACTCGAAATAAGAGGAGAAGGCTAAAGCAATTACCCCCGACTGGGACAAAAATAACAACTGGAAATAAGAGGAGAAGGCTAAAGCAATTTCATGAACCCCAAACAATTGGTCCATGGAAACATTATGGATGAGATTTCCATGCTGTCTAGAATTTGCCACCCTATGGAAGAAGGGAGTATCCCTACCCCAGATTTGAATCATCTAAAGCACGCGCGCTAGAACCAGTTGATTTCCCCTTTCCTAAGAAGAGTTTCTAAGGAGGAGAGAGCCTCAGCCCTAAGGGTGAAGGCTGTCACATCAAATGGTCTGGATTCTAGAAGTTCTGGATTTCTGCCAGAAGAAAGTTCTTGGCCAAAGAGAAGTTGGAAGTAAGATTTGAGCTCCAAGATTTGATGGATTGTTTAAGAAGTTGAAGCACTGTAAGTAAAAACCAGACCAACCAAACATTGAGAAGGAATTCCACCAGTCTTTGAGTCAAAATCCGGTTCTTCAAGCCAAGCCAACTTAAACCTGAATGGCCTAGGGCCAGAGGTGGGATGGGTTGACATCAAGAAGGATGGGTTTATGGTCAAAGGTTGGCTTGGAAAGAGATCAAGATTTAGTTAGAGTTGGGTCAACAGAGTGGTTGGACCATAGTCGAGGGAACCTTGGGGGTAAGGCCACAGTCCCACCTAGGAACATGATCCCACGATTCCTCTATGAGATCTTTGAAGGAGCTAAATTTAGAGAAATAGGAATCTCACTCCCATAAAGGGGATTTCGGTGTACATTCCTGTAGGATCTTTCCACGGAGAGAAGCTATACTATTAATTAAACTATTGGTCCTCTCCTTGGTATTATAGACTTGTTTCTTTGGAATGTGTTAAACTGTGGTGCATATTGCGTCGTGGTAAACTAGAATTATGGTATTAAAAATCTATTGTTTGATATCATAGCAAGCCAATTTATGGTATTATTAAACCGTATTATTGTAGTAAATAGAGTACTATAACTACGGCATTGGTAATAAGCTATGATGTATGATAATGGAATGAACAGGAATTGACTCGATCCTAATTTTATCATGCATTATTAATTGATCTCATTTTATGTATAATGAAGCTTAGATCCCCCCAAGTCAAAACCTTGATCCAAGTGACATGGGATCTCGCTCCCAAGTATCCTAAGATATATAGCTCACTAACTTGTTGAATGTACAGACATCGATCCTAAACCCAAGGAGCTTCCAGCCTATGGCAGTTCAACATTCCCCAAACCGATCCTGCTCCCGCCTCAAACAACTATGAGTTAGATCATGTGAAATAAGAGCCGAGTGCAGGATTTCCATGAGGTTGTGGCATAGTTAAGAGAACCGTGGGGGTAGAGTGGCATTCTCGCTCCGAAACCTCGATCCCACGATTCCTCCTAAGGATCTCGTAAGGACTCTGGTTTTTCATTTTTGGGATCTCACTCCCAAATAAAGGGGATCACGTTCCAACCATTAGTGGATTCCAGTACTATTTCGAAATTGATCCCTGCTCCTATCAACCATGGTTCAAGGTTTTGGTATATTATAATTTTGGGTTTCATATATGTGAGATTTACTTTAAAAAACAGATGAATCCATTTCCATTTGAAAATAGATCCCCGCTCCCATAAACCATAGTCCAAAGTTTTGGTACATTAAAATCTTGGGTTCCAAGTTTGTGGCTCTCTCTCTCTCTCTCTCTCTCTCTCTCTCTCTCTCT